GAAGTGCATTGTAGTCTCCCTGAGGAAAATACCATTCATTCGTTGCAATAGGAGAGGAAGAATTGTCTAAACTCGTTAAAGCTGCATTCCGTAAATTTTTGGGGTTAAAAATGATCCAAAATATATTTTTAGCAAGTACATAACCAGCGTTCAAAACTCTCTGCTTACCGTAGCTTGATTCAAAACGGTAAGCTTGTAATGTTTTTAACTCCAGTGGTACTGGTGGATTTCCGCTGGAGATTCGAGCATGTCTTTGCGTCACATCTGTACACACACATCTTTACACACACATCTTTACACACTAGTGATGCGCGGGTTGGGTTGGGGTGGGTAAAGAAATTGTCACTTTATTTGCGGGGCGGGTCATTATTATTGTTTTTTTTAATCCATGTATGTTGCTTACAATTTCCAGCCTATATTAAATATTTGGGAATATCTATTTTCGTATTTTATTAGGTTATTTGATAAGATTACAATACGAATGCCGTAGCAAGTTAACTTGCGTGAGGTCCATAAACCTTCGGCGTCAGGTGACACGTCACGAAAGCGGCCAGCCACGACAACAACAACGGAGAAATAAAAGTGAAGATGGAAGACGAGGTGCGGGAGAAATTGAGGTTGGGAATTTACCTGATTAAATTGAAAAGAAAAATAAGGTTAGGCTGCTAAATCTAATGTTTGGGAGCTGTTCTCAGAAATAGTTGCAGCAGGAGACAACAGTAGCTAGATCGGCTACCTGAAGTGCAACTCGCGTGAAAAATATACAAACAGTAGCGCCACAAAACGGGCACTTCCAGCATGTCAAGACATATTTGTGGGGGGTCTAAGAAATAAAAAATGCTTTAGCCTATTAGATGAATACAAACGCTGCTTTGTAAATGTTGAAAATGTTTATTAGTATCTTATTAATATGACCTGATTTATGATTCATATTCATAATCGTCTCTTGTTGCCAGTTTACAGGGCGTTGTTTCCAAGCACTTTCAGGCTGAAATAAAGGCTGTTTTCATTTACATTACAATGCCTAGTAGTATATCTATTTAACGGTCGCGGGGGCGGGGCGGGTTGTAAAAATAGATACAGTGGTGCGGTGCGGGCTGGGGCGGGCCAAATAACTTCATAAAAGCGGGACCCGCGGGTTGGAAAAAAAACCCGACCCGCGCATCACTAGTACACACACATCTGTACACACACATCTGTACACATAAAGAAGAGTCACGGCTAGCAGGCTATGAGTGTGAGGATGTTGGATGTGGAGATTTATAGCCTTTTCTCACAGCACTCGATATAATTAAACTTATTAATTTGATGCTGGATCCAAAAAGGTTCAAACGACAATCACCAACTGGAGAAGCACCCGCTGTAAAATGCAAAAGACTTCGTTCGGACTTCGGAGTGACTACAAAAAAGAAGAGACTGCAACCAGCCCATGCGAAAACAAGGATAATATCGGAAGGACATTACATGTAGTCACGCAATGCTGATGTTGAACATTAACAATTTGAGAACAAAGTATAATATGCACGGTTTGAGGTGATATGATAAGCAATGATTAGATTTAATCAGATTAGAGTCATAAATGATTTGCTCTTATCATCCGATCGTGGTTGTATCTCTCTATTAGTGTAACTTGATCTTAGTGCTGCATTTGACACCATTGACCACAACATTCTTTTAAATAGACTAGAAAACTATGTTGGCATTAGTGGAATTGCATTAGCATGGTTTAAATCATACTTAACTGACCGTTATCAGTTTGTAGCAGTAAATGAAGAGATGTCTTATTGATCACAAGTTCAGTATGGCGTACCACAAGGCTCAGTACTAGGACCGCTGCTCTTCACTCTGTACATGCTACCATTAGGAGATATCATTAGGAAACATGGAGTTAGCTTTCACTGTTATGCTGATGATACGCACCTCTATATTTCTTCACGCCCTGACAAAACTTAGTTTGATGACTAGTAATTTCCTACTAATTAATTCAGAAAAAACAGAGTTTCTAATGATTGGACCAAAAACGTCCTCACGTAATAACCTAGAATACTGTCTTAACACTTGATGGCTGCTCTTAACGCATTATGTTCCCTCACGTCTATTGCGATCTCAAAATTCCGGCCAGTTGATAATACCTAGAATATCAAAATCGACTGCTGGCGGTAGATCCTTTTCCTATTTAGCACCAAAACTCTGGAACAGTCTTCCGAACATTGTTCCGGGAAGCAGACACACTCTGTCAGTTTAAATCTAGACTAAAAACATATCTCTTTGACCTAGCATTCACATAGATCATTATACATTTCTATTATTCAAATCAGTTAAATGATTATTAGGCTGCATAGATTAGGTCAGCTGGAACCGGGAACACTTCCTATAACACCCGATGTACTCACTACATCATAAGAAGAATGGCATCTACGCTAATGTTAGTCTTTCTGCTTATTCCGGGGTTTAATGTAATCAGCCGGATCCGGGCCGTATCCAGATCAGATGGAGGACC